ATGCAGTTCTGTCACCTTCCTTCCCAGCGTGGTAACTGAGTTAACTGAATACAATTGTCAGAGTGTGTCACACTCTGTTTCCAAGAGTTTTCAACACGCAGGGGGCACGGAAACTGATTCCCATCCGTGCCAATGAAGCTACAGAAATCAGTTGGAGGAGAGTTGGGACGCCAACTCTTGTACCTGCGATGGATTGAACTTTTGAACAAGCTGTGACACCACTTTCCACGTTTTGTTTCATGGTTCTTTCACGATACTTTTCCCCAAAACAGGTTTCCCAACGCCGCGTTCAGCCGCTCGTGAGTTGCCGACGCTGAGACTCTGCAGATGTGCACAAACCTTTGTTCAACATTCAGTTGATCGCGGACTTTTGCCACCTTTCCGTTCCATCACCATTTCCGACCTGGGAATTGAGTTAACTGCAAACCCATATCAAAGTGTGCGCCGCTGTGCCGTCCCACGTGGTTGCACAGTGTGATCCCCGTCACTGGGGCGCTGTTTTCATGCCGGACTACCACTAACTGACTTTACCGCGTTCTGCACTCGTTGGATTATCTTAACGGATTTTCGGTTCACTATTGTATTATCAAAACCAAAGCCGCCGGGCTTCACGGAAATTCAAAGCCGCCGGGCTTACGGAGACTAAACTTAAGACATCGCAGTGCCCAGACAGGGCTGAAATCATTGAAAAAATAAAAAATAACAAAAACTAAACAAAAAATAATCAACTCTAGAACTCAAATCCAAAACAGACTCAACAGCAAAACTCAAAACAAACTCAAACAAAACTCAAGACAAACTCAAGAAACACTCAAAACAAACTCAAGAAGAACTCAACTCAAACACCAACTTGAGTCTAATTTGAGTCCAATTTGAGTCTGATTTGAGTTTGTCCTTCCAAAAACTCAAAAAATACTCAAAAACACTCAAATCAGACTCAGATTAGACTCAAACCAAACTCAAACCAGACTCAAGCCAAATGCTATTTACATATATTTACATTGTCTTGCGTTTTTCTTTGAGTTATTCCTGGGTCTAATCTGAGTATAATTTGAGTCTCTCATTTGAGTGGCTTTGGAGTCTGAGTTTCTGGTCTGATTTTTTTTTGAGTAGGTTGCTGTTTATTTTTTCATCTTGACCCCTTGCTCTCTGGGTCCGCGTTTTCTTAAGACTAAACCCAAACGCGTTCTCTACCCACACACCCCAACCCCCCCCTCCCTCTAATTAGGGTAACAGAGGGAAATGGTACTCGACACACTTGTGTGTCGGTGCCTTTCCCTCTGTTGTCCCTTTCTAGTCTACTCTACCCGGGCGGTGTAAGACTAAAGTCCCGCTCCCTAACTATTGAACCTAATTCACTTCTGCTAAGTAGTCAGCAACTCAAAAGTGCTAGGTAGTCATACACACACACACACGGACACACACATATTACATACATCCCCTCCCTGCCCCCCACTTTCTTTCTTGCGCTTTTCGTCGTTTGTTCTTTTGGGCTTTCCCTCAGGCTTTTTAAGTAATTCTTGAGGCGCTTTTCCTTACCCCAGTCAAGGGCTAAGTATTCACGTTTCGCTACTCCTATCTTTCTCTCCTGCCCTTTTAGCGCTGCTCTTTCTGTTTTTCTTTCTTTTCTAAGGCCTTTACGCCGGAGCCTATATAGGTGCCTATTTAGGCTTTTACGCCGGAGCGACGCAAAGCGGCTGAGTGTGTGTGTGTGTCACACTCTGTTTCCAAGAGTTTTCAGCACGCAGGGGGCACGGAAACTGATTTCCCATCCGTGCCAACGAAGCTACAGAAATCAGTTGGAGGAGAGTTGGGACGCCAACTCTTTTACCTGCGATGGATGGATTTTTTGAACAAGCTGTGACACCACTTTCCACGTTTTGTTTCATGGTTCTTTCACGATACTTTTCCCCAAAACAGGTTTCCCACCGCCGCGTTCAGCCGCTCGTGAGTTGCCGCCGCTGAGACTCTGCAGATGTGCGCAAACATTTGTTCAACATTCAGTTGATCGCGGACTTTTGCCACCTTTCCGTTCCATCACCATTTTCGACCTGGGAATTGAGTTAACTGCAAACCCATTATCAAAGTGCGTGGATGATTCGCCGGACACCAAGTTCACGTTCGCAAATGAAAGGAACATGGATCTGGGTAGCTATGCTGTTCAAGATCAAATGGAACCAAAGAACGTGCCTGTCATTTCATTGCATTACACTGTGATATATGTTGTACACTAAGTCTTGGTCAGGGACACTTTATCTGATGATTCTGATGGACGCATGATATATACTGGCCTGAAAGCCTTATGAGTATGATAATCCTCCTTTGTACTGCCCAAATTAAATCCTGGGGGTGCACCACGCTTTTGAAATGTCGAAATGGAACAAACAATCCTGACTTGGCCTCTAAGTTGGAGAGGGCGGGGTTGGGGGCTAGGATAATTTATATTGAATAACAGTTGTTTTTTTGGGGGGTGCCAAGGGACAGGAAACAATGTAATTGTTAAAACATTGTTTCTCCATGTTCCTGGAGGTAGGGGGTCCGGAAAAAATCCTGAGTGAATACATGACCCAAAACCATTCTTATTTGTTTGAAGTGATCACCATAACCCTTTTATTCCCTCAATATTTATCTAACATGGGAGATGTTGAGAAGATTGTGAACCTTGTGGGACTAAGGACTGACCAAGAAGAAGAAGAATTAAACAAAAAAGAAGAGAGAGGGAAAGGAGAAGAGGGAAACACGAATCAGCACACTACCGACCATGTGCTCTCACCAGTTGTTTGCCTCCCTGGATTTTTGCAAAAATATGAAAATGATAACAAAAAAAATTATGTCCTTGAGTGTTGACCATATGAGGTTGCATTACCATCATTACCCATATTCAAAGCTGACAGTTGAGGACAAAGATGCCACACCATTCCAACCCACACCCAGACTCATCCCCAAAGACTGGACTCACACCACAAAATCTGAAAATCCAAGCTGAAACTACGTTTGTCATTTTTGGCCATTAGGGCTGACCAAGTCCAATGACATTCACCATCTGCAAGGATGGTGCATCACCCCACACCCAGATTTAGATCCAAAGACCCGACTCACATCATAATTGGTGAAAAACTGATGTGACTGAAACGTTGTTGTTTGGGGCAGACCACTTTCACTGAAATATACTGAGTTATGTTTGTTCCAGGGTGGCTCCTCTGGAAAATATCACCACTATTCCATACACAACCCCCGCATTCAGACTCATCCCCAAAGACTCGACTCACACCACAAAGTCAGAAAATCCAAGGTGAAACTATTTTTGTCCATTAGGGCTGACCAAGTCCAGTGACATTCACTTTGTGCAAGGATGACACCTCTGGGCAAAAGTCCGCACCATTCCAAATGCAACCACCCCACACCCAGACTAAGCCCCAAAGATCTCCAAAGCTGTACTCACACCACAAAATCAGGAAATCTGCAGTGAAACTATTTTTGTTCATTAGGGCTGACCTTGTCCAATGACATTTACCTTCTGCAAGGATTGCACATCTGGCCAAAATCCACACCATTCCACATGCAACCACCCCACACCCAGATTTAGATCCAAAGACTCGACTCACATCACAATTGGTGAACAACTGATGTGACAGAAATTTTGTGCTTTGGGGCAGACCATTTTCACTGAAACATATATACTGAAATATGTTTGTTCCAGGGTGATTCCTCTGGAAAATAATCTCCACTATGCCATACACAACCCCCCCCATCCAGACTCACACCACAAAGTCAGAAAATCTAAGGTGAAACAATGTTGATCCATGTTCTAGGGCTCACCCAGTCCAATGACATGAGCTTTGTGCAAAGACGACCTATGGACAAAAATCCACACTGCTAGGGGTAGGCTTGTGATGAATGCCTGCAGTGCCCCCGCAAAAAGGGTCACATGTTGTTTTTGAAAACAATAAGGATACCATTTCTTAGTGGGTTTTCGTGCCACAGTTGCTTCACGCAGCGTTCCGCATCAGTTCACCGTCTCTTCTTGTCACTGCATGTGGAAGTTGTTTTTGAGGTGGGGGGGGTTAGGGACAGAAAAAAACATGTCACTGTTAAAACATTGTTTCTCCATGTTCCTGGAGGTAGGGGGTTAGGATTTAATTTACAGGTCATTGCACTCTCTCCTGTATCTGCTTGGTCTACTGTGTGGTGATGTTCAGGGGTTAGCCACACTGGATAAACATTCCCACTCAGAAATTATTTCCAGTGTGAGGGCTCCCCCTTGCAGTTCACAGGGGGATTATGATACATTCAAGCGGGCTTAGGCATTTGAGACCTTCCTTCCAACCACGGAAACAAATCTTGCAAATCTCATGCAATGGACCACAGATATTGTGATTTATATCAGAACATGTCAAGACACGTCAAGACACGTAAACGGTATTTTTTCTGCAGTATATACCCCTCAAGGCTCTTGGGATTGACTTCGGATTGCTTCACCAAGCCAAGAAGTATAAGAAATCGGTCCTGTGGGGTATAAACCCATAGATGATGCACATAATATCACCTATCTACATCTATATACATGATTATAGACAATGTGTAACGTCGTGCTTGCTTGAACGGGGTGATGTGAGTTCCTCGCCTTGGTAGGTGGCTCTCGCCATGGCCCAGCAGAAAGTTCGCTTGAACCCAGAGGATGCAGGATGGTTCGTCTGAAAAGAGAGCGCCGTCGATGGGAGCTTCATCGGTGGGAGGATGCGGTGGAGACCGAAGTGTTCATTGACCGGAACAGGGTTGAGACCAGTGGGTGGTGGGTGGCCTACTTTGTCTACTGAAGTAGGGCGATTCATTTTTCAGATTTCAATCGGGGCTGGACTTTTCATTTGAGACCAACCCAAAGTTGACAGGCAAGTTGAAGTGAAAAGATCAACATCAACATCAGCAAGCTTGCGTGGGATTGGGGTCTGGATGAATCTGATCACCACTAACATACACTGTTCCACGGGTTGCTGGCATGCAGTCAATGGATTGAAATTTGATGAAATTGCAATTGGATTGATGATGATTGATATCTTTACGGCGTGGAAAGAACCTAAAGCCTGAAGTCTGATGCAAACAGCAGATTCTGCACTCATCAGGACTGCTGCGAGAAGTGCTTGGGGACAGCTTTGAGGCAGGAGTCAATAGCAATGTGGCTCTGCAACAGCCTCGGTTTAGATATGCTTTGAGGCGTTCTGGCGAGTTTGAGAGGGTTCGCACATCACGGATGCCTTGAGAACTGTGTATTGATAAGAACAGATGCCTGGCACTGCTGCTGTGAATACGCAGAAAACGGACATTGGAGTATCACAGACAGTTTGGAGTAGCTCAACCACCCGAGTCTGTAAATGCACAACACTTAAGACTTAACCAATGAACACTGTCAGATCTGTTGAAAGCTACCCACACCTCGTCAGGGAAGTGTGTTCCTCCCCAAGTATACTTTGCCAGATGAACCAAGTCAGTGGACGTCCATCCTCTTCGTCTTGCGCCGACTCCTCATGGCTTTGGCGCCTTTCTTTGTGCGCTTGCTGCCGGGGCTGGCGGTGGCGGAGCACTTTCGTGCGCCCTGTGTGCCATTGGATGTGGCGACGCCCTATCAGAGCACATGGAGTTGTTGCTTTGGAGGATGTTGGTCCAAGAAATATGTGGGTACATCATCCGAAGAAATGGATTCAAAATTAATGATGTAGTGATGTAGTAGTTTTTTTTGTTTGGTTCTGAAGGCCTTAACATTTTGGTGGGACTGTTGAGGGACTGTCCACTAACATTTGCCTAATTTTCGCTACACTGTTGCGGGTACTTTACGATATTTGATCTTTTGGGAGGACACGTAGGTTGGAGGCCATCGCTCTTAGGTTGGAGGCCATCGCTAGTAGGTTGGAGGCCATCGCTAGTATGTTTGCAGGCCATTGCTACTAACAGGGACAATTCTTGGAGCTACTTTTTTGTCAATGGCGGGAGAATTTATTTGGGATGTGGTAGACTTTTCTTGAATACATACCTTAATATTCCTGGTGCCTTTGGGTGGCTTTTGGCTTGTGTGGCTTGCTTTTGGGGAGGCGCTGCAACCTCACCTAACCCTGCAGCTTTTCAGGCAAAAAGCAAGGGCCATAGGCCAGACAAGTTTACACAAAGCTTTTCCGCGGACATTAGTTGTTTTACAGTGACAGCCTTTTCTAAGACACGATCATTCGTCTTTATGTGTTCTCCATTTCTGATCGTCGCACGGCGGAGCATGTCCTAGTTGTTTCATGCGGTTTCATGTGTTTTTGTCCTTTTCCTTTTGAAGCGGATTTTAGAAGACCCGGACAGAGCACCCAACGTCCCACAGCCGTGTCTTTCGCTCCTTCCCTCCCACACCCTACTTCGTTGTTGGAGGGTTTTGAGCCGGTCGAGTTCCATGTCTTCCATGTGGCAGGGAAGTGGTTCCGGGGGCGGGCCGTCTTTCAATCGAAAGACATAGAAAGACCGATCTTCCAACGTTTGGACCTACAAAATACTTAACTAAGGAGACCCCCAATGGACACACCATGGAGTGATGGAGACCATGGATTGACGCATACATTTCTGTCATACATTGCTTCATGTGGTCATCCAGGTTCTCACGGCTATATCTGAGAATCCCTCCAACCTGTTCTTTCGGCCTGAAGAGTTAAACGAGCAAAATCCGCCTCAGGTTTTGACAATTTGACCGATGGGTCTCCACAACACTGGACAGGCAAGTGCTGGACATGGGTCCTGGACAGCGGCTGGAAGACACTGCCTGGTATCACACATCAGGTGAAAGCCCTGGAAAATCCTGAGACTAGTACTTGGGCAACATTGGGCAACCCCAAGTTCTTTGCCCCAAGCACCACATGTTGCGAAGAAAGCCGAGGAGGAGGGAAGATTGCGGTCGACTCGTTGACGTCGTTGACTTGCAACTGCTTTGTTTTCATGGTGTCACCGGAGTCCCTGTCTCTGCTGTTCTTTGTTCATTTGTGTTTGGAGGGGGTACCATCAGCCATCTTCGTTTCCCAGAGTTGTCGTGGTGAAGTTTACAAGGAACAGTATGGATGTTTTCGTACCCGAGGGACATGGGACTCCCCGCGGTCGACTTAGGTGAACTGGAATACATAGACCAAGCATGACCAAGCTTTGTGTGTTGATGGACCACTCGTCTTTACAGGTCTTTACTCGGATTTCAACAACATTGAACAGCCATTGTTTTCATGGTCTTTACCAGACAACCATTGCTTTACTAAAAGGATTTGAGACTACAAATCCAGGTCAGCCTTCCTTTCAATTCATGGTCTTTGGAAGGATAGTCTCTTTCTGTAGAGGGGCTATTGTTCCATGATGGCATAAATGGTCCCATTTATACCCACATCCAAAAAGGAGACGGCACAGGCGACAGCCTCGACTGGGTCGGCCTCGTTCGAGTGGGCTCCACCGTGTACCGCTGGCTGGGGCGCCCCGTGATGGACTGGCGCGGGGACTGTTCGGGCGGGAATGGATGGTGACCACCACAGCAGACTCTAGTAGACTCTAGTGCTAGTGCTTTGCAACTTACCATCAGCTTTGCGGGATGTATATAGTCCCATGAAATGGATTGGGGGCACCCTCAAGAATGGTCCGGTCCTTATCGTTCCGACTTAACATCTTAACTTACGAGAGATGCCCCAGTGGTTTAAAGTTGGTGTCAAACTGGGGTTGGGTTCACTATGAGGATGCTAAAGGCTCTACGTCGTCGGTATTTTGGGCAGCCTTAACTTCACAGGAGTGCACGGAGTGCATGTCCACGCATTGGACCAAGCCATCCCCCCATGAGCTGTTGAACACCCCAAAGATGTGAAGTTGTACCAGACACAAAGTCAACTAGATTATATGTCAACTATGCATATCTATACTACTGTCTAATGACTTAGGCCAACGTGATGCAAGTGACATACCAATCTGGCTACCCCCAGGGCTAAGTCATGTGCCCTGACATATCGAGCAAAAAACATGTCTGGGTTGGGAAACCTGGTGTCATAGGACCTGTGGACACCTCCCGGACAAAAAAAATAAAAAAAACAGCTAAATAATGCTAGATACCACTGCCTGGCACCCTGGTGACACAGTGGTGACATAGGGTGCGACTATGTGTTTTTGTGGGCGCTGCTTCCTTGAATACCTCATACATATTTCTATGAATATCATGGTTGTGGCCTGATGACATAGGCCTTAAGAGGAAATGCCAATGTTGGATCAATCCTGATGACATAGGCTTTTGGACTTGGCGTGTATGTCCGACAAGTCCTAAGTTACTAGTCAGTAGTATATGCATGTTAAATGTGTTTCTGAATGTGTCTGATGTTTCTGCCCATATCACGGGGTGGGTGTTGCACACACTTGTGGCAATGGGACAAGGCTAATAAGAGCGGAGGAGTGAGAGATGAGTTTTTGCTTCCGGAGCCAGTCATGGGCTCATGGAGCCGCCTTAAGAGTTCAGACACAGGAGATTTCTGGAAACTACGGTGAAATTCGATGGAATTCTGCGGCAGAATCGGACACAGAGAACAAGCATCCCACTGCATCTCCCCCTCTCGCAATGAGGGCGTATAAGATGTATAAGGAGGAACCTGTACTGGCATTAGCGAAGCATATAGATAGACTGTAGATTCTGGATGGTTCTCCGGGACCCCGAGCATGACACATCCAGGAGTTCTCTCAGCAGATGAGGAAAAACACCCCCTCCTCTCTCAAGTTCGATCATGTATCGTCAAAGAAGCCATGCGAGGTCTCCGGACACTTTTGGGACGTTGACGATGTGGACACGATTGGACATATCACTCGTCCGTTGGACATGAAGATGTGAAGGACTCGTCCGTTGGGAATCTCTTCGGACGAGTTACCTTCATTTCTCCCCAAGTCCGTTGGGCAGGACTTGCCCGCTGCGCAGCAGACGGCAGTGGACATTCGACCGACATTGACGCGCTATCATTTCCAGGCACAGGGCACCACCCAGCTACTTTTTGCTGCCATTTCTTCCACAGAAACCTGCATTGGGTACAATTGAGGAACCATTGAATCGATGGACCAGGGTCCGGATTGTCCACACTCACTTGCGGTCAGCCAATATACACTTCCAATTGAAGCGTTTGGAGAACAGTGGTTGCTATGTTTGCTCTTCAAGCAATAAAGCTCACAGAAGTTGTGCTTGCTTGCTTGCTTGCTTGCTTGCTCGCTTGCCTGCCTGCCTGCCTGCCTGCCTGCCTGCCTGCCTGCCTGCTTGCGCTTGCTTATGCTTGCCTATGCTTGCCTATGGTTGCTTAGGCTTGTTTAGGCTTGCTTGGGATTGTTTGTTTGTTGGCTTGTGTGTATGACTGATTGCTTATTTGCTTGTTCTTTTGTTTTGGCTTACTTGTTTGCCTTTTGAATCAATTGTGTTGATATTGTTTTGATATCGATAGCCTATCGACTATCGATGGCCTTTTTAGCTTGTTGATCCTTTTCAATATCCGTGGCAAGAGTTTCTGGGTGACACACCACACAGGAAAAGCAAGAAAAGCAGTGCATTTTTTGTCGCAGAACCTCAGGGGCTGAGAAATTCAGGTGGGCTCTGTGCAGCTGACCGTGGACTTCATGACTCCCTCCTTTGACCATGACAAGGTGTGGCGGGGATGAGCTCTGGACGGATTGTTTCATGGAACTGGCCAACTGTGTAGCTGCTGATTTTGTACAGCTGCTGCCATGGTGCAAAAGTTGTGGATGTGGTCCAGGCGACAAAAACACAGAAAACACCTGCAATGTCTCAAGAGAGTCAATCATTTGCTTTTCGGCAAAAAAAAGACTTCGGCTGTCCGACCCAGGTCTTGGTCGTGGCGAGCTGTCCTATCACCACAGTCAACTTCACCATTACTGGCACGGATGATCCGGTCGAAGTCTATTTCGATCCTTGGATGTTCCAGAAAGAGGGTTCAAAGAACAAAATAAAAAGGACAATAAATAAAACATATAAAACGGATTAAAACGGCATGTTTCCCATCTGTATTGTGTAATCCCATCTGTATTGTGTACATTGTATGTATATTGTTTAGTATTGTATTGTATTATATGTTTCCAAAACACATTAAAAAGCAAACAGACTGTTTTCTTTCATTGAAAGAATGGAAAGAACGGCACAGGTTCATCAGGTTCCCTGGCTTCGTGTTTGGCGAGGTCTGAATTCATTTCAGCCGAAAGTCGTGTTCGTTGCTTCGTTTTGGACGTCTTGTTGGAGATAGATGGGACAATCGGGCGAAAGGCATTCTGAATGTCTTTGCTCCCAACTGATGACGTTGTCGAACTTCTCCAGTCGAAGCAAAGACTTCAAGATCGATTCTTTGAATGTGGGGCATCTGCCTTGTGGCAAAGCCTGGGAGACGTTCCACTTCGAACCGAAACTTTTTTGCGTCCTGAGGACATGAGTGCCACCACGGCAACCAAATCCGACGACCAAGAGGCCGGGGAGAAAACAGGTTTCAGAGAGTCACCAATTGGTGCTTGCAGGCTTGGATTGGAATGTGTGTGTTCTCGCAGTCCTCATGTTTCTTCAACAGCCTGCTAGATTTGTCGACATACCATCCCCTTCCCTCGATCAATCCACTGCAGTCAGTCAGGTCATTGGAACTCGGCCAGCCTCCGAGACCCTTCAGGACTGGGAGATGTCTTTCAGGTCTGCCTCTTTTTTGCAGGGGCCTTTTTTCCTTCTTTGGTTTCCACATGAGCAACCACCATTGTTGATTCTCGCGTCTGAAGACGACTTGGTTGGAAGCTGAGGCTTTTCCACATAAGAAAGATGAACGAAGCATGTCAAAGCACAGCTGTACAGGAGATCTGCTGGCGTTCTCTTCTTGGTCTACTATCGTCAAGTCCACTTGGTAGGTTTCACCACTTAGGGCATGGCACTGATTCTCGGTCGAGTTTGGCCATACTCAGCTTGCGTGGATCAGGCCATCCGCCTCGGGACAGTGGAGCAACACTTGGTGGGGCAGACCTCGGATCGCTCAGCTCCTCGGACCGCGTTCGCGTGGAGAAGAGCTGAGCTGACAAGAGCTGGGCCCTTGTGAAGGGATGGAAGGAGCACTTCCCTTTAAAGGATGCATTTGTGCGAGGGTGGGAGGCGGACTAGTTGAAGTCCCAGATCTGCGATTGCCATGTGTCTCATGCTCCCAGGTAGAGAGTTGATAGAAAAGGTCCAGGGGCTCACATGTGATCAGTGACTCTGAAGATCTCATGTGACCTACATGAAATCAGTCATAGTCTGTCCAAGCTTGGGTTGTCATGGTCCAGTAGAAGAAACCTCCACCATCGGCCCAAGTCAGCGGATGGTAGTCCGGTCCATTTTCTGACCTAGAAACCAGTCCGTTTCTGGGAAGTCTCGACCGATCACAGACCAAACAAGCACATGAAAGATGTCGGCACCCACATCTGATCCGTACCTCGAAGACTCGGACCGAATCGTCTTCCGAACGGAACGAACGACCAGAGACGGTCGTCACGGCAGGGAAGCACAACCCGTTGGATTGGCGACCAGAGACGTCGCCACGATCGTTTTGGTGTTTCCTCCCAGGACTGGGGATACCGCTACCTTGCCACGGACTCGACCTCGGAGACCTTCATCAGCTCAGCCACTCTAGCGCGCAGCGCCTTTGTACATAGAAACTACTCCAAGCTTCAGGAGACGTTCCGAGAACGCGCAAGATTCTTTGGATGCTTGAACATGTTGGAACGGATGTTTGACAATAAGATGACCAGCCACAAAGCCGCTACTGTGCTGCTCATTAGATGTTGGACGATTACAGAGGTTTGTCAAAGCAGTCATTATGATGTTGTCGGACCTGCAGTGAGCTTGCAGGATGAGGAAGATCCAAAGGCAGCCAATGAGCTGGCTTTGACCTTGCAATTGATTCTTTGCTTGCATCAAGAGATCTATCACTTGTAAAGCAGAAACTCTAAAAAGTGTTTTTGTGGTGTGTGTGTGTATGTGTGTGTTTGTTTCATTTTTTGTATTGTTGGTTCGATTGTCTGTTGGAAAACGACCTTGCTCTCCCAGGTCCTAAAGCTAACCACAATTCTTGTTGCAAGGTTAGTTGTTTGGAGATGTTCTTTATTGTTCTTTGCTGTCTGTCTCTCTCTCTCTCTGTGTATCTATTTAACACCGATATATTAGGAATTGCTACAAGAGGAGCATGTACATGTTATCTGCGTTTCCAAGGAATGTGTCCACATCCACATCGAATCGCTTCTACCTGATGTTCGACGAGGTCCAGGGAATGTTTGTGTGCAAGAACAGGCTGTTTGGGTGCGGTGCCTGATGACGATCCATCCAAATTGCTGCATGTTGAGATATCAAAATACCACTGGACTCCCAGCCTGTGAAACCCGGCACCACGACCACGGCACATGGAGATGGGTCGTTGGTGGACAAGGATGCAAGCTGTTTTGGTGAGTTAATGTACGGTCTTCATGTGGATTTGCTTGCTTTTATAGATAGATCTAGTGATAGATCTATAGGAGAGAGGCTTTGATGCAATGAGGACCTACCAGGTACCACTCGATACATTTGCCGAAATCCCCTTGAAGCAACAGTCTGAGGGTTGAATAGGCGGCACTTTGTCAAGAATTTGCCTCTTCCACTTGAACTGTGGTGTTGTGAAGAGAAGTGAAAAGTGCCTGTCTCTTTGCCCATTGACCATTCAATCCATGCTCCTAAATGCCCTTTTGAGCTATTCACATGAATTTGCTACCCTTTTGCGACCTTTTCCAACCAGCAATTACAAACAACTTCCCACAGGGCCGGATTTACTTCAAGGCATATATTTCAGAACACTGTATGTCACATATATATATATATATAATATCTCTATAAAGATCCACCCAAATCTGACATGTTGCTGGGATTTGCTGGTTCAAGAAGTAATATAGATCATGAACCCGGTCTGCGTCCCACCCTTCTCATCCCCAAACACCAATCGGACCAATCGCTACCTGTGCTGATTGGCCCACCGGACACCGATTTCGCTGAAGAAACGCACCGCCAGGTGATCTCTCAGCGCTACTTTGGCCGCGATCTGATGCCCCTGTGGCACCGCAACGGCCGTGCCATCCGCGCACTGGAAGCCGCACACCAGTGGGCGGAGCAACGACGACGGGACGCTGAGGCAGGTGAGGGAGAAGCCAGTGCTACAGAAGCGGGAAGATTTTATCTTGCGTGGTTCCAACATGGAAGATGCAGCTTATGCCAAGCTTCACTTGGTTAATGGTTTTTTGTTGGAGGTTGCTACCAGTATAGAATATTGACCAGAACTGTCGAGTTCACGTCTCAATCAACCCAAACCAGGCTTGGCCCTTGTGGATCCTTGTGGCCTTGGAAACCCAAAGAGTGGATATCAATCCCTGGGTTGCTGATAAGGTTTGATACTTGTCACTCAAGAACTGGTGTTTCTTCTCATGTTCATCTTCTTTAGGACCAAAATTATTTAGAGTCCCCGGAACAAGAGTAGAGTTTGGGCGAAGCAGAAACCGACCGCGCTTCTTGAAGCTCACCAGACTAGCTTCTCACGAACTTACTTCAACTACCTTCAACTCATATGGATGAGAACCTAAGAACGGGGGAACTAATTACTGGGGTCACCCCTTTGAAACGTTTTGTTCCGGACCTGACCTCAGCCAAAGTCTTGCTTGCAGCCTCTCTCCCTCTCGCCGACGTCGTGGCTTGGAGGACTTCGATCAACGCCTTTTAGCCGAGCTGGCCCAAGCTGCTGGGCCTCGCTACGCGCAGCTGGGAGCGCTCGTCTATCGTCAGGCCGGAGCTGCAGCACCTGCACGGCTGCTGTTTCCAGCGGGCAGGTACTTGAAGTAGGAAAACAGATGCGAAGATGGCCAGAAAAGGCTGTGAATTCCGAGAAACCACAGGCTCTGTTCCATTTTTATTTCGACATCAGGTCCTCGGGTTCCCTCGGTCTTTGGCCCTGGGAGCTGTATTGCGATATTCAAGAGATGTCCAGCTCAGCAACCACTGCTATTTGGTCTTGACTAAAGTATATAGGCATGCTCTATTTGTTTCGTCCAACATCAGTATGCGCTAGTGAACGAGATAGGGCCCGAACATTAAATGCTGTTGTTGATGACAGTGATGACATGTGATTTGCTATACTAAAGTAGTCTGAACGAGACACCGTGACATGACCTCCTACTAAAGCAGTCTAAACAAGATAGAGCCCCCATTTGAGTTTAATAACACATAATAAATACCCCCGCACAGCTAATCATGCAGCCTGCTTTACATGTCCTTTACATGTCGCTAAATGACATTTACATGCGCTTGCGCTAGGTCTGGCTTTTCTTGTTCTCCATGTCTATGGATGCTTTGCGAATGTTGATGGACTCCGGAGCTCTGATCCACCACACCTTCAGGCTGCACCACTCCGATCCACTCCCCCTGTCGTTGCACGTGCCACACAGGTCATGGGGTCCACGTCCACCGCATGGAACGAGAAGACAGGCCGAGTTCGGGGTGAACCCCTCCGACCCGCCGATTCCCGGGGCGGCCCGGCGGGGTTCAGGGTGCTCTCGGCCGGCAAGTCCACGGCCAGTCGAGGCCGGGAAGCCAGTTTGCAGGGGATCCAGATATGGAAATAGAGGAGATTGATCACGAAAGGTAGAATTAGTTACCTGAGTTCTATCTTGCGTAAGCACGGGGGGGCCTGCATCGTTGAAAGTCACTTGATTTTGGGATGATTTGGGATGTAATGATTCTATTCGTTGGGGGGGTGAGTTCAAATCCCACTGTGGGGCATAATGATCACCATCATACATGAGAGGATTCTTGGCAAGGCTCTTTTTTTTGTTTAGATCAACCCACAGATTAATTAGTCAGGTACACTTAGGAGACTTGCTGGTCCAAGAGCAGTTCCCCTCTTCCATGTGTCCTCCCTACCTTTCGTTGACCGCTCCTCAAGTCTCCTTGTTTCTCTTACAATGCTAGTCCATCCCCATGCGTTTAGAATGACGGAAGTTGAGTCTCCATGACAATGTAATGTGGAATCACCTGTTCGGAAGCCCTCTAGAGTCTAGAGGCACGTGGAAGATCCAGGTCGTCATTTCTGCCCGGCAGTCTGATCGTCAACTTGCGATTGACCTGGCAGGTGAAGCTTGGCCATTTATGAAGGCGGTGGGATATATCATATGCTTGCGATGACTCAAGATGTTCTTCTTGCAATGGGTTTTTTCTCGCACTCCCGCTAAAATTCTGCGCTTACCTGAAGTGCTGCAGCTTTGATTCATGCACAATATATCACAATATCATAATATCACATGGCTCGCATGAGAAGTCTCCTTGTAGGAGATCTCCTCTGATGGCGACGTTTCCACCGTGGATGTACCTCGGATTGCGGTTGGTGAACCATTAAGACTCTTAACAAGTGCTCATGGATGCTAATGGGCTTGGTTGCAAACATACGTCTTTTCTTGTGAAGTCAGGGCACGTTCGACACAGACGTTGCGTGTCACAAGTTTGGCACAAGAACAACCTATCCATGCGGATCAAGTCTTTTTGATGGCCTACAATCACTTCTGACTTCTGTGCGCAACCAGCAGAGACAAGCCTGTTGAGGAACAAATCCAACATTTGAGTCACACGCCCAAAAATGTTCAATGAAATGTTCTACAAGTCCAGAGTGTTCAGAGTTTGCCATGTTTTACGAGTAACAAGAAGCTACTAGGGGCTCCTGGCCTTACTACCAGGGGCAAGGACGCTACTAGGGGCTCGTGGCATCGCTACTAGTAACAAGAAGCTATCTAGTAGGTTGGAGTGTTTTCCTGCGTTTCTCCGAGTGAAATCACGAACCATCGATCGACCTGACTGGGTCAGGTGATCTTTCCAGCCTTTCCGTTGTTCCTTCACGTGGCGCCCGAATTCTTCCGCAAGCTGCTGGTTCCTCTGTCAGCTGGCAGAGAAGGGTTGAGAAGCGGTGCAGGATCAATCAATCTGGCTAGCAACTATGGCTCAACTATAGGATGGCCCCCCAATGATCCCCAATGCCTTCTTTTAGAAAAAACATGACCAGAATCTGCTGGGACCTCGCTGGTTGTGTCTCTGGGCCGCATCCGGGATGTGCCAAGCAGCAGTTTTTGCGGCTCAAAAGGTGTGGCTCCGGTATTTCGAAGGTCTCACGAAGTTTCATGGATTCAAGTGTTTTCTTTTTAAATGTGTTTCTGAACGTCCGTCTTGTGGGGGACGTTCACGGACGTTCTGAAGAAACTGCAAGACTGAGCAAGCCTGGCAGCCTTTGCTTGCAAAGGCATGTGCGAGAACGAATATGAAAGAATCATTATTATTGGTTCAGACCCCATGTACTGAGCATCTACATGGAGGTGGCCAAAGGTGAGCGGTGAAAACCCTTCTTCGAATCAAGGATGGTCTATGCCAACAATGGCACAGCGGACTACGGCAACTTGGCACCTGAACGCCAAGTGGGTGGGTGCTCCTTTGATTTGATATGTTCTCCTCTACTCAGGCTTCAGAACCACATTCTGTGACGTCACGCTTGATGTGTGGGCAAGCAAGCGATTTGAAGCCACGACATGAGGATTGGATGTCAAGTACAACCTTTCTTGGGCGTCAGTGGCTTAGTGCTTTGAAGTTGGTTGGTCGTTGATGAGCTGTGGAATGCATGGAATCTGTATCAATCTGCATAATTACAGGACTGTTTTATACTGTTTTGGATCCCCGTTGCTACTGGCTAGCTAAAATGAGTGTGGTTGACCACGGAAAAATTATACATGTCATTACATTTCTATTTCACTCATTTAGTTTGAGGTTATCTAAAATGGGTCTTAAAATGTCTTAAATAAAACGGTTGGCAGCGACAGATTTGCAAACTTGTCAAAATAGCCAGTTGTTTTAGATAAAACATGATAATACTATTGTGAGGCAGTTGTTTTTTTTCACTTTTCAGATTAAAGGACTTGTGCAGACCTTCGGTCTGTGAAAATCAATTTATTCAACCTATTTCTGGATAAAATGAGGGGGTGAACTTTTATAGCCGGTAGCAACTGGGATTGGTTTGAAACTATAGGAAGATTGTTCGGCGCATCCAGCTTTGGCAACTTTTGACATTGACCAGGCCACACCATTTGGGCACTTGGCCCGTTTGCGATCTAAAAAGTGAGCAACAAGAGCAGATGCCTGTGGAGGACAGACTTTTCGATAAGATCGATGACTTTTGAGCGACAAGTCGTGCTTTTTGGGGTCGACTTCCTAGCTGGCTTTTGTGGATTATTAATGATTCTTATTTGGGTATGGCTAAAGCAGTCACAATCAGGACCCGACAAAAACTGCAAGGGCTATTCCGAGTTGCCTTTGAACGAATGGTTTGGGTGGTTGGTCAGGAAGGTGGTGTCAATATGTTTAAATAAGTATACAGTTGTATAATGTTGTATATAATTTAACTTTAGGCCAGTTCATAGTCCCCAGCTTTGGACCACATCAACAAAATGTTGGATGTGTCAACAGGGGAAGGTCCTTTCTGTGCTACAGACCAAGTAGATATGACATGACTTATAGATCGACTCCTTCAGAACTGAAACGGATCCCAGGAATCATCAGGAATTTTATGCAAGTCTTCCAGGGTCACAAGATGGTACTTACACATATGTTTTCTTCTTTTTCGCGTGTATTTTCCCTTGTGTATGTCCTTTTGCAATTTTCGTGTACACCAGCGTTTTGTCCAGGTTTTTGCTCCACCGGAGGAGAGCGGAAACATGCTGATCATGATTGCCGCACTTGCTCAGAAGCAGGGTTCCGGGTCCACCGCTTGGTTGAAGAGCAGCTTGGATGGTTGATTCCTTGGTGGATGGACGAGTCATGGACGAGTCACAAGTCCTTGGTTGGTTGAGATACTAAATCGACCCCGCTATTTGTTCCAAAAGGACGACATTGGGACAAATTTCTGGGATGCTGCGGATACCCCTGGCCATGCTATAAGGAATGGACAGTGAAGGCTCCGACTGTGCCGTCCAACAAGGAACATTTACTCATGGAACAGAACGCCGGTAAACAGCAACCGCAACCTTTTGGCTAGAGATGTTGACTCATCACTGCCCTGGTTTGTTTTCCTGCCAGTAGGATTATAACAATATTTGCAGCACAGACTGAATCGGATCAAACGACTCATTTCTTAAAGGTTGTTGTTTGTAGTGTTGTTTGTGTATTTTGTCATTATTGTGCTGCCCGGCCCTACCATGATGCCAATCATTGTTGTTTGACAAAATGACAGAACAAATCACAAACACAAGGAAGACAGCAAATCTAAACAATTTTTCAGACACATTGGGCATATGACGCCCAGCAACCGGCAATGAACATATGCAACAAACATGCTCAGATTCCGACCCGTCCAAGGTAAAGCTTCTCGGTGAAAAGGCCTTTCTTTGCACCGAGGCTATTGGCCCGTTTTGGTGACTTGGGCAGACTTCTTGGTCGCTTCACTGCCAGATCCGGGCAAGCAGCTTTGCACGGATGACTTTGAGGACTGAGAAAACATGAGACAACAACTGCAGTTGCAACACTTTGCATATAGGTCCAAGAAACGGTATATAATACACACAGTGGTGGTTCAAGTGCCTCCTGCCAGTGGATTGTCGTGTCTCCGTTGCAGGGGCCAAACCCGCACAATATCAATTTGGCTCCTTTGGTCAGCATGAAGACATGAGAAGAACGGATGGGGAATTCCAACGACGCGATCCATGAGAACGTGAGCTTCAATCCTGGATCCTGGGTGCACTGACCGGGACGGCTCTGAATACCTCAGAAAACAGCGGAGAGCCGTGCAAAGCTAGGCATTGAAACTGATCACGGTCGCTGTTGATCAACCTTCCCAAGAGTCCATTTTAGGGCGGAGCCATAGCATCATTATTGGTCCCAAAAGAAAGGAGTCACGGTTTGAACAATCCAAGGCAATTGTGGATCCACCCAAGCACAATGAGGGGAGAATGCCCCCTCCAGTCGGCCAAGAGCCATTAACTTTTGGGCGATAAGAATTATAGTCAGTCTTATTTCGAGATCCCAAGCAGGCAGCAACCAGAAACACAATAATAACCACACTATTTACTGTATCTAATTTTTCCTTGGAGTAGAGAAGGGTATCGTCTAGAGTTTCGAGTAATCCCTTCCTCCAAATTACCCCTCCCAAAAGAAAGAAGATAAGCTCTGTGAGTGGGTGGTTTCTTGTTCCTTGGCGTGTTCCCATTGTAGCAAATCTCCCCGAAAGCGGTCAGAACGCCCGTGAAACTGGCACGCTGAGGCCGCCAAAGGCATCGTGGCTTTAGGTGCCTTCGCCAAAGTCCTGCAGATGGATGGCCAGGTGCGGAGATGAGAAACAGATGTTGTTTTGGTTATGTTCTTTGGAGGGAATCGTCATCATACATTGAGGGAACCCAGGGATCCGCAACATGTCCTTCAATGGGTTGCTTAAGAGGAAGTCGGCTCAGATTCAGATTCAGAGCATTTCAGAATATGTCCGACAAGTATGTATTTCATACCGACAAGGATCTTAAGGTACATCCTGTGCTCCCACGCTGACGTGAAGCTTCATGAGCTTCATTCCGTGGTCGATCTGCGCTTGCTTGCCATGCGTTCCGTCAGCACCAGGCGACGTTGGCGCAAAAGTACCAGGCTTTGGCTGAGGCCGACGGCCGCCGACCCGTTCGACCCGTTCGACCCCCAAACCGGGCGTAGGGGTCCACCGGGTGGTGCCGTCCGATCGGGCAGACGTTTGACTTGCCACCTTCCCATGCAAGTGAATTCCTACTTGGCCAAGAATGCTAGGCACTTGGCTACTATTGGCTTCTTTGAATTCGTTTGATTTCATTGATTGGAACATGTGACACCCGAAAACCCACATGCTGCACGTCGTCTTCCGGAGGGCTTTGCCGCCCAATGGCTGAAGATGGCTGCGGACGGCCACTTTGCTTGAGGAAGTGAGGGGATCAGTTGAAGCATCTTTGGAAGGATTTGGAAGGTACACGCCACAGACTCACATTGACAATGGACTACTCCAGAGGAAGCGAGTTTTACAGGGATCCGATGTCAATGTTTGTTTCAGGAACCGTGAGCCCATTCTCAAGGCACTCTTGACCTCGATGAGGGACACGGATGAACCCTTATCATTTTCATTTGCACCATCTTGTTCGCAACAGGGCACGCAACGGTCATCAACAAATACAGTACCAACACTGACTAACAGTTTAACACCATCACTGTCACAAATCTACTATGAAGAGTCCAAGCAAGAAACCGAATTCCAGCAGACACGGATCCACTTCTGATTGGTTGACGGGTCATTTCCCTCCGCGCATCAGTCTGTTACCTGGATTTTTTTGGTTGGTCGAGGAATCATCCACCCTTCTCCTGGGTGGCATCGGCATCAGCTATTTTTGGATGCCAAGAAAACAAATTCGTTTGGTGCCAAAGAGCCGAACTCGCATTGCATCAACCTCAACAACCTCCATGTTCCCGGAATGGTGTGTTTTTCTTTTTTCAGACTGCTGGATCACCCGTATCGTATCCGTTAAAGGATGTTAAAGGCGTTGCTCTTCTCCGTGGATAGCAGATAGGGCGTGAGGCCAAAGCCTGCAAAATCCTCCTCACAAAGAAAGGTCCAAGGCTCTGAGATGTGGGTCGATCGAAGAAAGTTGAATTTGATGATTCCAGTCCAGTGAACCACTCAGGCGACCACTTCAAGCGCCAGTACGACCTGCCCAACACTTGGTCTCAGCTCCTTGATGGTCAGAAGTAGTGTCCAGGGACCTGGAATTGAACTAAAGTTTAAAGCATTGCCGAATCCGAACGAAGCGAGCCCTTTGTTGAGGTGAACATCATACGATCAACCTAGACCTAGGAAGGTAGGGTCCAGCACAGGTCCGGTGCAGCCCCCCAATCCAAACCCCGAAAACTGGGATCAAACGCCCAGGACGCTGGTGACGGACTGGCGATGCCTCGGCCGGTCCGCCGTGACACTAAGGAAGTACAACCTCGTGTGGCAGAAGGTCTTAGGATTGAGCTCCTTGGCCGATTAAGGTCCTCTACGTGACCCCAAAAAAGCGCGCAAGCACGCCCAGCAAGCAGATGACCCATAGGATGACCATAGGATCCGGGACTTGACATACAGTGCGTTTTTGGATCCTGGATTTCCACGATGAAATGGTGGACCCTAGGGCCCATATAAAGCACAATTCTATAGAAAATCAAGGTACTTGGTGACGTCAGGGCCCACCAAATGGTAGCAAGAGACCATGTGATGAGCATTTTATCAAGATGTTGGTTCATTCTATAGGCACCAGCCCTTGACTGAAAATCAAGCCCAAAACACATTTTATAGGGGTCTCACATAGATGCCACCAAAAAGGTCGGATCGCATTCTATAATAAGGGAAGCGTTGCAGGAACAGGAAGAACATACAAACATTTTACCTAGAGGTTCAGGGCCTGGTCATTGTAGTGAAGTGAGCTGTCATGCATGAGACTCTTGCTCTACAGAATGGGTGGGCTGCGATGATCTACAGAATGCCTGAAGGAGTTCACCTTTCTCATTTCAAGTTCCTACAGAATGAGTTCCAAGAGTTTTTCAGACTGCAGAAGCATTTCTTATAGAATGAGCTTTGAGGCTCAATGATAAACATCAACACTTTCTCAAAAAGCGTTGTTTCTCGAGTTTTTGACCATCAGCTATCTTCCAGGCTGTTTTGGCCTGGTTTCAGACACATGTCATTCTATAGCTCTATGTTCCGCCATTTGATAGAAAGAATCAGGGGCACCCGGTTCTATACTACAGAATGGCTGACACGACATCACCCGTGAAATTGACACGGGGATCTTTTTGGGAGGGTATTACATGCACAATTAAGCTGAAGGGGTGTTTGGTTTGGGAACAATATGGAACAATCAACTGCAAGAGATTTGTTCGTTGGGCCTCTTGGTTTGCTGAGCCTGGTTGTTGGCTTGTAGGATCTTGTAGGTGCTTCCCAAATCCACTTCATGTGTTTCGACGTGGATAGAGGCCCAAAACAAGCAGACCTGCGGGTGACAGCATGCGGATTGTTGTTCATGTTTTCCATTCCTTGGCTTGGCCATTCAATTCTCAGCTGAGCAATGCCAGTCACTGCCAGTCTAATTCGATCTAAGATGGTTGCTTGTATGCTTGAGGCATCTTTCTTGCGTCGGCCAGCCCGGCTAGCCATCGACTGCGTCGGCCGATGATACCGGAAGTGTCCTTGCTCCTAGTAGTAAGGCCAGGAGCCCCTAGTAGCGTCCTTGCTCCTATAGTAGTATACCCTGTATGTTTGAAGCACTGGAACTCGTTCAGCTTAGCTGAGGCCTGTTTCCTGAATCGGTGGGTCCCTCAGAGCGTTTTCGGCTTGGCCACAGCTGAGCCTTCGGCGAGTCCCAGGTGAGCTTTGCACAAAGCCAAACGCTGAGTCCCAGGTGGAAACAGCCCAAGCCGAAGAGGTTCCATCATATTCCATCGGGTTCCCCAAGGGCCATTCTATAGAATTCAGTCAGAGTTGTCAATCGTTGTCATTTGAGGCCTCGGTTGTCGAAAAGGGGACTCCAAGCACCCCAACTGTTTGATCCACACCAGGTCTTTCAGAAAGAGACAGCTGAATATGAGCGACACAGAAGCTTGGACAAAAATATGACAGCAGGGAAGTTCGCTGCATATGTGCTGTGTGCTCATTGCCACACGTCATCAAGAGCAGAATTCGCACGCACCCACCCTCGGATCACAAGCCATTCCTGTGGTCAGTTGGTGGTGCAAAAACCCGCTGTCATGGCCCAGGAGAGAAGTTTGGCATTCCTTTGGATGACCGATGCTTGCTAGTATGGGTGGCGGGGGCTCCGCGGACATGTTGCTGGTAATTGGTCTTCAGGTGTGTTCAATTGTTTTCAGAAACTTAAGAATTGGGTCCCAAGGGACCTAATTATATGGACCTATATATGATTCGGGATGCGTTATGAATACGAAACCAAGAAATCTGAACTGTCCTTTCTTGGAACCGTTTTGATCCCTTGATGAGGTCAATCCACACGGCTCCCACAGCCCACAGCACCAAGCGTTCGGCTGCAACTAAGGTCATAGCTATACAAAAGCCGACTGGTCCATTTGGTCAGCTGCTTTTGGTTCTCAGGCCCTTTGGTTGTCACAAGTTTGTTTTGTTTGTTTAGCTGCAGGGATGTGCTTTCTGGAATGTAATGTAATATGATGCTGTTTTGTTGGTTGCTGGTGCTTCCTTCCTTCCGAAGAACGACACATTTGTTAGGAAAGCAGATTGTGTCAGTATGCAAAGAAGCTAGCTTTCAGGATCACAACAGGGTGATTTGAATTTCTTTAGAGTTCGGCATGCACTGGAAACAGCCACCTTCAACAGCTTCAATCCGGTCATTGTTATCATCGAAGCAACTCTTGTATTGATGGTCAGCTAGCCCGCGAACCTGAGAGCCTTCTCGTTTGAGCACTGCTACACAGGAACGCCCTTAATTTTCTTTATATCTCTTTACATCTCTTTGCACAGATCCTTTGCTAGCGCTACTCCACCCAAAAGAACACCCTTGGTTGTGTGTGTGGACCTGTTTCTTTGTTTAAACATACACCCACAGGTCCTACCAATCTTGGTCGGTTGCACAAGCAGCGCACGGTGTGCTGCAGCAACTCGTTTTTCTTTTGGCCGGTTCGAAGAGGAACATCACATATATCATCATATATCAGCCTTTTAACATGGTCTATAATATAGATGTTCCATGTTCAATCCATATGTATATATATATATATCCAGTAGTATTTTATTGTTTAACTATGGTTATCATAATATATCAGCCTTATATATGGTTCCTCTATTCTTTTACCATCTTTTCCCCGTCAACTATCAACATGGATTTTTCATTCGTTCCGTTCTTACGGTTGACTGTTTCGGCTGGTAGGCGGAATTCCAGACCGTGGTCGATGACCTGTGGACCTTCGCGGCCAGCACACCGGATCGAGTCCCATTCACCGCCCCCCGGACGATCGCGGTCGAAGCAGGTCGACCGGTCGACCCAGGTCGACCGGTCGATGGGCCGCGGCTGGTTTCGGGGTGAAGCTGAGAATCTGACGAATTGGGCATCGAAACTTAGGCATTTTAGAGGGATTTGGGGGAATATGAAGAACACCAGGTGACAGACAGGTTCTGGTGTGAAGAAACTAAAGAAAAGGCAGTGAAAGAGGACCACAAAACAGACCTGCTAGTGTTTGGAGGCTTCCCTTTTCACGGAACACCTAGACAATTTGTGGGTTTGTCAACCGCGACGAACTCATTCGGGTCGCGCAAACTGGACTGTGGGTTTCCCAAGGATTGGTTTGATACCAAGAGTGGTAAGGCGCAGATCCTTGGATGCAGAGCGTTAAGGGACCTGGTTTTGAATTCTGCTCCAGATAGTTTTCAGGCAAACTCCGCATTTAGGCATGTTCATGGCTATAGGTGGGGGTGCTTCACATTCTTGACATGGTAGCACTTCTATGGCTGGGAGGATCAAATGCACTGCGGCTGGATGTCCAGAGGAAGCTGGCGTGTTTTTTTCTTCCCCTTTGACCCATGGGGTTTGGAGGTTTTATTCCTCAGGCAAGGACGGAGCGCCACGTAACGAGTCATGGATATTCGATGAAAGGAGCCAGACATTTTGACTGGTCGGTGTTTCATGTGAGAGAATGATACGGGTCCAGACTATGTATACGTTGGCAGGGTTGTTTATGGGTTGGGAGTCTCCCTGAAAACACGTGAAGTGATTTGCCTTTTTCCCTAGACTGGACACTGTGGACACTGAGTCTACCAGACTCAACCTGGAATTCATTTGAGTTGTGAATGGATAAACATGTCAATTCCCTTTGGAATAGCTTGCCCCACAAGCATAATGTTGATGCACCATTTCAGAAAGACAACACAACATTGCATCAAATTGCTACAGAGCCCGACAATGGTAGCAGAATGTTTTCAGGCCAGGGTTCATGTCAAGTTGGCTGTTGACCAACGGTCAAGTCAGAGGAATTCTACGACTGCCCTGATCACCCTGAAAAAACAGATTCCCATGGATTGCTGACATCACTTGTCAATACTTATCATCAATATGGATGATGTCCTCAATTTCGCCATAAATCGTTCACCTCCAAACCACCAGCCTCCAATCACCCACCGTTCCGGAACCGCGGTTCCGGGTGTCCGGAACCACGTCTTCCCGCTGACGTTCCGGAACCGCCGAGGGGCTTCCGCGCGCGGCCAGTCATGGGGGGCCTCTTCATTCATCGGGCTGGTGACCTCGCGTGGGGCGACCGGTCTCTCGGTGCCGACCGGGGCGACGGTGGTGTTTCGTCGTGCGGTGTCGCCCGGTGGTACGGCGGTTTGAAAGAACGGTGTTTGGTAAATCAGATCTCGATCGATTCCGATCTGAAAAAGAGAATGGACATGAAGTGAAGAAGCGCGTTTGACCACTGATGGATCTCAATATACTTTCCATAAGGGACCATGAAGATCCATGTTTGGCTATCGCATGGATGCGAGACTGTTAGTTGGACGCGCTAACCTTTTGCACCACAGGGTGTTGCATGTCAATTACAAATAGCTTGCATGTACTCTAGCTGGCTGAAGAGAAATGCAACATCAAATGTTATTGGTTTGAACTCACCAGCCAAACACTCCAGTCTTTGCTGCAGACTTATGCGCAAGCACCTTTCAAGCAGCACGTAATCCATATCTTGAGAGTGAGGCTTCACACCAAGGGCTATAGCTAAGAGCCTTCCGAAACATCTTGGAATTGAACAGATTGGGTCAATCTCGAAGCGTTTCATCATGCATTCAGTGCCGGGCAAGCTTTGTGCACATGTTTGGCATACACCCACAAAAGAAATGATATGCCATGCAGTAAGGAAAGGAACCGCATGAATAGCATACACGGCTACCAGGCTGGAGAAACATTTGACAATCTCAAACGGCCTCAAACCCACCTCAACCGCACTGTTTCTTTCCTATTTACCTCAAAGAGGCACCGAATGGGCGTACGAAAAAAACGCTTGAAACGCTTCGTCTTTGGCCTTCACAAGCCCAAGCTGCTCCACACACGAAGCAGTCGCAGTGGCCATTGGATTTGAGTGGTTCCACATGGATCCAATTGGGAGATCTGCTGGGGAGCCATGTTTTTGGTAGAAGATCCATGTGCCATCATTTCCCATGAACTGTTCGGAAAAGACTGGAGAAGGTCGCAACCGTGCCAAACTTGCCAGCCAACATCTTTCGGATCACCGATTCTCAAAGTCGGTCGATGAGAAATGTCCGATCATGGCTTTGATTCCAGGGACTTCAATAGTATTGCCAGATTCACTGTTGGCTTTCAGCCGTGTGCTCACCACCCCCGGGACACAAACTGAGGTTCAGTAGTGGTCATTTGAGAGGAGCCTGAACTGAACCGTGGGGCGTCAGTCCACCTGCCAACAGTCCAAAGCGCATCTGTACAAACTCCGCATTCAATGACACTCGAAGTCCAGTTAAAATGGCAAAGTGCCCATCCGAAATCATCCTGAACCCATTGGTAATTATAGATAGGGTATTTCGGAGCGACACTTCAGTCAAGCGACACTTGCATGCGACTGGAAGGTCCGATCAATCAGAGATTGGTCCAGCCATCTGGAGGATGTCAATCCACTGGGGGACTTTTCCACTCTTTTGGATCCTAACACGAACAGAGATGGCCCCCCCCCCCAAACATGGCAATGACTGTTGTCCTGGCAGCTGACGCCCTAAGATAGGAGCCATGAATAGACATGAACGCTTTACTTGGTTTACCTGGTTACCTAGTTTCCGCTATGGAACCATGGCCAAGTTGATGCAGAGTTTGACCTCACTTTGGCTGGTATCTTGACAATCTTGACGCCGTGGAGTAAGCCAAGTCAAGTAGCAGTGCTGGTGGAGTTGTTTGTTTGCCTTTTGTTGTGACCAACTATCTAGAATGACAATGAATGACTCAAGTAAAGGTTGGGCATAGGAGTTCATGAGTTGGTCTTCCAGATCAGAGGCAGATTGCGGCAAACCTAAGTTCTCAATGCCTTTCAAGAGCATTTGGCTATTGAAGATGATAGCTGCTGGCGGTTTCTAGGCCAACGCAGCCTGAGGCGAAGGAGAAGAGTTGTTGCAGCGTTCGGATGGTTCGGGGATCGCCGCAACCACCTCATCATTGCATCGGCCTGAAGACCAAATCATCTAGACATCTCTCCCCATCTCTGCCAGAAAAGTCTTCAGATGACAGTAAGTAGTGGCAGTATAATGCAGTATATAGATCTTTAAAGGATTTGTGCTGCCAAGTCTTGTTGAAAGGACCTGACCCAGTCCCAAATAGTTCAACTTACCTGTGCCGGTGATTTGTTCAAATCTCTAGAAAACTCTGAGCCTCGACCGCTTGGGAGAAATGCCTCAAGATTCCACTATTCCCACTGTTCCACACTGGCATTTTTGGCCACCAAGTATCACAGCTCAGATTCTCCCAATGTCCGGCCTGCAATGCCAGGCAAGCTCGGTGATATCTTCACTTACTAAACGCCGATGAGGCAAGAGCCAACGCAGCCGACAACGGGGACATGGAGTAGACTATGGTGAGGGTTGTTGAGGAGATATTGTGGTAGCAAAAGTTATGAACACATCGGAACATTGCTGGAGTGTGCTTATATGCTTGTATGTACCTTGATATATATATATGCAGATATATGCAGCTTGTTCAATGTGTCCGTAAAGGAGCTTTGGGATGTTGTGCATGCCAAACTGTTTGCAGAGGATGGACGCCCTAGCATCAGTGCTGAGCTGAAATTGCAGCGGGAATTTGGATGGATTAACAGATGCTTTGAGAGCGTTCAAGTGACATGTGATAGTTGTTTTTTGGCTCCTTACTCTTCCTGCTGGGCGAGGATAGAGTCAGGGGGGGCATCCCCTTTCCAGCTTGGACAAAACTATACAAATCATTTACAGTATTTAGTAGCCTGTGCGACATGCGTAGTGCCGCACATGTGTCCATCTGCGAGCGCTTGGTTTCATCCACTGGGCAGGGCGTCGCAATCGTTCGAAGGTTTTGCCTCCAGCACAGCTGATGCCTGGTACCAAGGTATGATGTAGAGATCCACCAATGCTTATTTGCTGCTCAGTGATCAGTCTATCGCTCCGACATGGTCAACCATTTCACTGACGCTTCAACGGAGTTGCTTCCGAGCTGGCCATTGGATGCCCAACTGCTCTAGCTAAAGCTCCCACAGGGGCGCTCTTCCACGAAGTTTCCGTGGCAGATCATCAAAAGGTTGCGCTGTTTAGTGGCCATGACAAAGGGCACAAGACGGAATCTTCAAGGGCCTGGCTGCACCAATCATGTTTGAGAATTGACTTGCACGACTCAGTCACACGCGCACACACAAACACACACGTCATATACACACACACACACACTTCGTTCAAGAAAAGCTAACCAAGAGCACTGGGCTTACCTCGACCCAGGTGCTTCGTCCGCACCCCAATTGCCATGCAGAGTGCACCATGTTCACGCCGACGGCTCCTCTTATTTTGGGCTCAAACCCGGACTACTGCGGAGGCGTCCAAGGGAAGCCCCAACAACCTCCGCAGGGGCCCCAACTGCAGATCCAGCTGAACATGGCAGGACACCAGATCCAGTGGCCGTCGAACCCGGAAGTCCAAGTCCAGGACGACCCCTCTGGTCATTTGTTGGTTTTGGTCAAATTAATGATATCAAATTTGACCATGCATGTTTAAATATCGTTGAGTTTGAAACAGCCAGATCCCACAGCTTGAAGTTGTCTAGATCATATCAAACGGACGTCTGATTGGCTGTTGATTGAATCCGGAGGTCGGACTGGCTTGAGTTTCACCAGAACTTCGCCAGTTGAGTGTTGAGGACGCACCTCACCGGACCTCGCATGACACCACATGACCCGACATTGGTCGCACGGTCTGTCGGTGCTCGAACTGGTGGTGCGGTCGCTGAGGTCGACGGCAGAGGACATGAGTTGAAGCCTCTCCAAGGTGGGTGCCACCCAATAAAAGCAAAGAAACAACCATCCAAAACCTGTTTCTGTTTCTGTTTCTGTTGTTGTTGTTGTTGTTGTTGGTGGTGTTGGTGTTGGTGTTGGTGTTTGTGTCTTGGTGTTGGTGTTGTTGTTGGCCAGATTTGATGGTGCTATAGCTATAGTTCAGTGTTTTCAAGAGCTGGTGGCATCGAGTGATGTGAGTTTGGTCTGACAAAACGCACAGTTTTCTGTGTCCAGTCCTGACCAAAAAGATCCCCAACAAATCCAGTTGGTATAGGTCGAGAATAGGTCGAGTATATTTGATTGGATGTCTAAGGCATCACATATATATATATACATATATAATATATATATGGTATTGTTATTCATATGTGGAGTATTTTGATGTATATTGTAGTGCCAGATCGTGCCAGAAAACAAATCACGTATTTACGTTGGAAGATTGCTTTGATGGGATAGACCCTGGATCTTGAGAGAGCCAAGCATTGGGGCTTAAGAACCAGAACTGCAGTTCACCAAGTTGTCCAACAAGCGTCACATTCCAAACAGAAGGGGTCTGCCGAAAAATATGAGCACATGTACCAAATCCTTTAGATGGGGCTTATATAAAGGGCAAAACCTTCTTCAACATGTCCTTTTCTGAAGTTCGTCAGACTTACTCAGATTTCAAGTAAAGATGTCCTCGAGCAATTGGTGGACACCTGAATTACCAGTTTGTACATCTTAGTTGGGCATCCAGCATCCACATAATTTCAAACAGAAATCGCTCCGAACTGTCCAGGATCTTCGTGCCCAAGAGCTGGTCGCTCACAAGGAAAAAGGTCTCACTGACAGAATATAAAATGCATCAACCAAACTTTTTGGGAAAATCCTATGATGGGAATGGCACAGACCTCATTTTGGGGAACCTAAACTAAACCTTTGCGCCGACCTCAAGGGCCACCGCGTCTCCATGGCCTTGGCGATGGATGGCTTCGATGTCGATAGCCCAGACAGCGGCGCGAGCTTCGGCCCCAAAAACACCAAAAACCACCCAATGTGAGCTGTTTTCATGGAGCCTGGAGATGGGAGGCAGGTGCCATATTCAAACTTAGGTAAGTAGGGTTGTCAAGTTGTCAACAAATATAGTAGCTTCTTGCTCCTAGTAGTAAGGCCAGGAGCCCCTAGTAGCTTCTTGCTCCTAGTAGTAAGGCCAGTAGCCCCTAGTAGCTTTTTGCTCCTATTATGATATAGTGCACTATAGATATTAGATGTACTTTCATCAATTTATTGTTGAATCTTTTTTCGGTCCCATAGCCATAGCTCATGGGTCCAGGAAAACACAGGTAGGTCAAGTAGGTCAGTGGCCAGGCGAACACTGTTTGGCTGTCCGATTTGCCACGAAGTGGGTCAGATGCGAGGCCGACAGCCTTTTCAACACGCCTTGTCTCGGGTGCCCCAGATGTTCATCGAGTTGTGTGATCCGCCCGGAATGCAGCTGATCATAGCAGCTGAGATTGGCATTCTGCATCATGATCAGTCTGCAGCCCTTTGACAAACGCTTGGAACATGCGTGGAACGTGTGGAAACACATACGTGGAGAGTTTGCTTCAGGTACAAAAAGGAGCCCAGCTGATTGAAACAAACAATACTCCATTCCGATCATAATCAGCCAACAAAAAGACGAAACAAAGGCAACAAACGAACCGTGACATTCTCCGCTGTGGACCTTTGGGTGCGTCGAAAACCGCGATTTGCAGTTGGGGCTCAGAGAGATATCGAAGAGAGAGAGAGAGATCGAAGACACCTTTTCGTCGCCCTGACCCGCTGGGAAGCGACGCCGCTCGGACCTGAATAATCCGGTGGAAGGGTCCATGAAAAGTCGGACACAGACGGCACAAAGACAATATCCGAATCATTGGTTATCACCCAATAGCTGTTGCGGTACATGCTGCTGCTGCTGCTGCTGTATGATGTTTCCGGAAGAGACGTGATTGTTTGAAGGGGTCGGACCAGACACTTGATTCACCTTGATGAAAGCAGAGCTGCGCCTGTGGTCACTTGGATTCTGACTTCTAATGTGCCAACACTTGACCGACCAGTGGCAGCTGCAGACGTGCTTGTTTCAGGGTGTTTCAGGTGGCTCTTCGTGTTTTGGAGGAATGACATTGCGTTGGTGCAAGCAGTCAAGCAGTTCAGGTTCAGATTTCAGCAGTTGATGTTGGATTTCAGATGTTGGATTGTAAACCGATGTGTTAGCAGATGACCAGGACTCAGGGTCACCGAGGATCACTCAGGGTCACCCAGGGTCGGGGTGGTTCAACAAGATCGACCCTTTTACAATGGGCAGGACGAGTAAGACGACCATTCTCGAACCTTTACAATGGGCCGAGGCCGTCGGTGAGCTTGCAGTCGTGAGCATGATCGAGGACCGCCAGCCGATGGACGTAGCGATTTCAGACGCCACGCGAAGCAGTGTTGTTTCTGTACAAGCCATCAACAGTTTTTAATTTCAACAAGTGCAACAAGCTGTATTGAGGGGTTCTGAGTTCTGACGAAAGCAAAGACTATCATAAATCATAAAGAAAAAACATCACTTCTGTTCTTGCAAGCGTTTGCAGTGATCGCCATGGTGTTCAGTTTGCATCAATTCCTCTTCACCATGTATGGCCTGCCGGCCGAGACCCACCGCCGGAAACCTGAAGACGAGCGAAAGACCCACCGCCGAGCACTCGCCACGAACGAGGCGCACAGCCCGGTAGAGCCCGTCAAGGCATGGATCCTGGAGAAAGAAAGAACATATGGCACATCACATGTTTTCACCAAGGAATTCTCCTCTTTGGAGGCCATCGCTCTTAGGTTGGAGGCCATCGCTCTTAGGGTTGGAGGCCATCGCTATTAGGGTTGGAGGCCATCGCTCTTAGGTTGGAGGCCATCGCTCTTAGGTTGGAGGCCATCGCT